AATCCATTCTATGATTCTGGGGTTACCACCCCCGACCTCGGCATGGGGATGTGTCAATAAAACATCAAAAACTTGTATTGCTTTTTTTTTCCAATAGCAACTCTTCAGTTTTCCGTGAAGTGTGAATTGAGGTGTTTTGAAAAGAAAAACCCTTTGGGGGCAGTGGCCAGTAGCTCCAAGCACACCCTGACACCTGCCCCCGTCCCTCCTGCATTCCCAGCTGCCAGCTGGTCCCTGAGTGGACATCAGCTAGGCAGAAACACTGTAACAAAGGAGGAATATGGATTAAGTTTCCTCAGCAATCTTTCTTGGCTTTTCAAGGCTTCAGAGTTGGTGCTTGGCTTGTAGGGGTGTCACAGTTGCTTCAGCAGTGTGTTCTCAGCTGCAGGAATACTGCTGGATAAACAGGGCTCCCAGGAGTGGCCAAACAAAACGCTCACTCTGTGTGTGTATGTTCAAATATTTTTCTAAGTCTGACAAACGAGAAAATTGTGCAAGAACACCAGTTGACTGAAGACTTCCCTTGCATTGGTTACCAGGTCGTTTCCTGGATCTGTTATCTGAGACCCATCTGACAAAAATTCCTCTACTTCCACACTGCTTCTCCTAGAAACGTGGACACTGAAAGGAAGCTTTTTTCCTTCATTAGCATAAATTCTTTAACATTGCTAGTACTTGATAACTCTTCATTCTCAGTTCCTCCAGTTCCTGCCTTTTCCAGTTTCCCTTTGCCTCTCCAGTGCCCTCATTTTTTTTGTCATATCTGATATTCCCTTCTGGGCATAGCTATAAGTCACATTGCAGCCTGATGTAAAGATGCCCAGTGAGGCCTTAGCTGATGGGAGGGACAGGACAATTTATCTGAGCCAGGCACTGTCTCAGTTAATTTGCAGGGCCTTTGTAGTTCTCGAGCAAAAGGAGATCCAAGTTGTTCCTTTAATGCTTGCTCTGGTGTCTCTGCATGGCATGAGTCTGTGCAGGGTGGACAGTCCTTCTGATCTACCACTGCTTTTTCTTGGGGCAGTCCTGATTTAACCCCTTGTCCTGTAAGAACTTAATCCTTCTCTCTTTTCCCCTTTTTATTCTTATCTCCATTTACTGACTTTTTACTTCTGACTCAGACCTGATCACCTCTTCTGGTTCCTGCTCTCTGTATTATGATTTTCTTGATTTTAAGACTACCTAGTGTGGCTCTCTTCATAGGCAGTTAGTGGCTCATCCCATTTTTGGCATTGTGTTTCCCTTTGTGCTACTGTCTATAAGGTCGTGATGCTATTTTCTGGCAGTCTTATCTGCTACCTCATCACTGCTGTGCTGCTTTCATCAGAATTCCCCTGCTCCAGCTTGAATTTCTGGTATCTCCACTGTGCCCTTCCTTGAGAGGCGTTTAGTATGACTCAGGTTCCTGTATGACAACAGTACTGACAGAGCAATGATTGCTCTTTGACTTTTGTGTGTGCTTTCTTTGGTCCACGTTAGAGTTGGCAGAAACACTTGGCTAAATGCAGACTTCATTCTGCTGACTGTGATCCTCAAGATGAGTGGAGGAAAAATCTCTCCCTCCATCTACAAGAGGAGTTACAAGCAGGCCAGGGAATGGCATTGCAGCTGCAGTCTGTTGCATGTCACTCTTGGGAAACCCTTAACCACAGCTGTTGCCTTTTCCTGTAAATGACAATAGTGTGACATCACATCCCTCAGCAGAGGGGATTTTCCTCCATGTTTCTCCAGTAGAAGAAATAATAGCATTGGGTGGATGTGTGCTGTGGGCATTTTATGGGGCAGTAGCAAGTGATGCTGAGCTGTGCTGGGATTCCCAGGCTGCCCCCGTGGCATTTAAACCCAGCTCTGGCACAAGTTAGACGTCAGCACAAGCGCCTTGATGTGGCCCAGCCTCTTCTTCTGGCAGACATCCTGCAACAAATGGGAACCTCCGTGCTGTGTGTGCCTTCACCTCTGTCCTCCCTGTGCCTTCACTTGCTTCCCAAATTATCTTCACTCTTGACAACCTCTGCACACATTTACATTGTGATGAACTGATCCAGACTAGGCTTGCCACGACTGCCCAACCCAGCCGATCTGTCAGCAGCAAGAGAAGAAACAACACTGTGCCTTTAAGCCAAGCTGATGTTTTTATAAAATACAAACCAGGATAGAAAATGCTTCTTCCCCTTTTTGTAACTCTCTGATATGTTTGATTCTTTGAAAGAATTGTAGAAGTCTGAGAATTTAAAGCTATATCTTCCAGAAAACCAATACAACGCCTCTCAGTTCTCCCATCTCTCCTCTCAAACCTCTGATTTGTGCTGCTGAAAAAGTTTGGACAGATTTGTTCTTTTTCTGTGTACATTTTTAAGCAAGAACTTGGCTAAGTTTTATTTTTCTTGAATACCTCCACTTTTGGATATTACTTGTGACTAGAACTGTTTAGAAAACACTTAGACAATATAAGACAAAATTCCGCCAGAAAGTGCAAGTTTTTAATCAAATGTGCTCAACAATAGCTCAGTCCCAGCCATGCACAGTTCAGGCATGTAACTAATCCTATTAACTTGAAGTGAAGTGTATTAAAGTGTTTAAAGGATTAGAGTCTTAATTACAGGCCATCTGCAGAGGTCAAATATCAAAGGCTGTTCAGAGCCTGAGTTTTAGTATTTTCTGAATGAGAGAATGAGTAATATTTGTGTGAGGTCCCCTTTACCCTTTTCACTCAGCATCCTTTCTGCTGGAGAGTTAAATGGGTGTTCCAATATGGCATTTATTAACTAGGCTGAATCATCCTGATGACCAACAGTCAGGTCTCCAGATTATCAGCTGGTTAGACATTAGCAGGGCTGCCATATATGCCCTAAAGAAGTTTAGGACTTGGAGAACATGGATTTGAACAAATCAAGTCTGCATAGCATAGTGCCAGCCTATTTTATAGCTGCTTCTGATTTTAATTATTAATCACTAAGACTTTTTTCCTTATGTTATGTTAAACAGAAATGGAAAGGAAGAACCTTAGGATGATAATTAGCTGGTCTTGACAGTGTATAACTTAGACGTCTAACTTAGATGTATAAATTATGGTCTTTGGCTCCAAACAGGAATATCAGAAAAATAGGGACTGAAATTGCCTTCTTCCTCCCACCCAAAAAGCATGATCAATTACATTAGGTAATTTCTGACAGAAACTTGTTCAATTTGCATTTGAAACCCAGAAACCAAGGCTGACATTCCCTATATTATTCTCTCACTCTTTATTCATCTACACCTTGAGAAAGCGTTTTTTTACATCTAACCCAGATCTCTGTTGCCCACTGAGCCTTTTCAGATTTAGGGCCCTCCTACTGTGTCTCTCCTTTCTCTGGGATAAACTACTCCAATTCCTCCAATGCTTTCACATAAAACCTCTAACTCTCTATCCCAAGCAGAATACAATACCCTGACTGAAGGTTTTCTAGCCCCAAGCATGACAGTAGAATGGCTTCATTTGCCTGGCAAACAATATTCCTTTTTATGTAGCTCCCAGTGCCATTTGCCCTTTTTGTGGTGGCATAGCTGATTCCTGTTGGGTTTGTGATCCATGCTAACTTTATACAGTGATGCTATCAGACTAGTAAGTACACAACCTGCATTTGTGATGTTAGGAGTTCTGCAGAGAGTGAAAGAACATCCTTTTAATTATTTCCTTTCCCCTACTGTAACTTGCCAAGTGTGCTTCGATCCTAGCCCTGTTCTCTAACTCTCCCTGCCCCTCCCAGCCAGTGGGGCTGGCAAGAAAGTTGTCTGCTCCAGCATCTAAATTATTTAATGAAAATATACAATTTCTGGTACTCCTGCAGAATTTCTGCTTGTTGTGTCCAGCCAAGTTAACAACATGCTCATGTTAAATATTTCAGTCCAGTTTACAGCCATTTGTGTTTTTCTGGACTTGCTTGTGAGATGGATGGCCACGTGAGACAGTGTTAGAAGCCCTTCTAAAACCAAGAGCTGGAAATGAGCCTGCTTGACATAATTTATTCTAGGCAAAGTAAACATAGAAATTTCTTTTCTAGGTACTTAAATGTGTCTGTGGAGGCAGAGGTTTAACTCCAGCACCTCATTTTTTAATGACTCAGCAGGTCACAAAACAGGTACAGCTTCTTAACACAGGAATTCAAGCAAGAAAGAACTTGAATTCCTCTGTATGTGATAAAAAATTGTTTTAATCTAAAATATATGAATTTCAAATCCAGAATAATCACAAAATATCACTTTTACATTGCTGTGCAGTAGGGACAGAAAAAAACTGTCAAGAAACAAACTTCTCTAGTCATTAAAAATGATTTCAGGTAACTGTCTTAGGTTCTTTTAGGACAATGTTCAGCTTCATGCTTTAAACAAAGGCAGTGAAATACAGGGATAAATGTGAACAAACAGGTTGCACCCCACCAAGCAGTGTGTCACACTGTGACTGCCTGTGAGCATTCAGCATACCCTAAGGATAAACTGTATTATGAGAGTGAAGAAACAGGCCCTGTGGACCACCCATCAAAACAGAACTTTACTTGAAAATAACAACTTGTTGAAAAATTCCCCACATGAACAAAAAAAAAAAGTAGATCTAGCAGAGAGTGAGGATAATGATATTGAATAACATCAGCTGGTGAAATATCTGTATTTGCAGAGTATTCTCCCCATCAGAGAAGAAAGAAGATTAAGAATAGAAAAAACAAACAAAAAAAAATACCCAACCCCCCCCCCCCACAAAACCAAAACTGAACCAAACCAAAACACTCCTCCCAACAAACAAACAAACAAAACCCCAAAAAACCAAACAAAAAACCCCCAAAACAAAAGTAAAAACCCCAAAGAAAATAAAACAAAAACAACAACAAAAAAAGCCCAAATGGCCAAACAATTAGTAGTTTAGCTTATTCAACGTTTTAGTAAACAGAAGTATATTTAAAATGCCTGCTGTCAAGAATCCCAAAAGATGAATGTATGGGAAATAGACAAAAATAACTAGTCTGTAATATGTATTCATATTGTTTTATGAGAATTCAACATTTTAGTAAACGAAAGTATCTTTAAAATGCCTGCTGTCAAGAATCCCAAAAGATAAGTGTATGGGAAATAGACAAAAATAACTAGTCTGTAATATGTATTCATATTGTTTTATGAGAATTAACTCCTTTCCAAAGATGCTAAAAAGAAGGCAATGAAAAAAAAAAACCCATTGCAGAAAATGTGGAAAACGGAGTATTTAAACATTGAACAGCAGGCACGTGCCCAGATATTACAGAGTTAATAAGAAAGCAAACAACACATGTAAGAGACTGCAGAGCAGTAAGGACTTTGTGACAGGATTAGGCTGATTTAAGATGACTGGAGAAACATGAAAGATCGGGAAGAGCATCCCAGATGAGCAAGCAGGGGCTGAGCGCCAGCGGCCGCGGTTCCGAAGCCTTTTCCAACAGGTCCATCCTTCAGCGCGGGCAAGCGCTCCGCCCTGGAAAGCGCACTGAACCCATCCCCCGGCTGCATTCCACCCGAGCTCCCAGGGACCAGCTGGGACGCCAGCTCCGAGAAATGGGTATGGCAGGAGCAGGGAAAGCCGCAGCCAGCGCTGCTGAGAGCTGAGTGCCCCATTTCCAGAGAGATGCCTGTAGGCTGTGCGGCTGCTTCGGCGGGGCGTCCCCCTCCGTCCCCATCTCACACGGCAGCCGGCACTGCCAGAAGGATGCCGTGCAGCGTCACTGCCGGCACGCCAGCTCGCAGAACCGCTGAAAGAATAAATCAGAGATAAGAACTGAAAACAAGGCTGGAAGTGACGCAGCGGGGGAACGAAGGCTCCGTCCCGCAGGGCCGGCTCGGCCGCTGCCCCTCCTCGGCGCTCCCCGGCCGGGCTGGCGACAGCAGGTGGCGGCCGCGTCCTTGGCACGGCGGCACCGAGCCCACGCAGAACGCTGCTGAGAGAGAAGTGAACGACAAAAAGAGCATCTCAAAGGTTTATCTATTTTATTTGAAGCGCTTCATAATAATACATGCCTGCAAAGCTGAGAAACGTGTGTTTGCCACATGCAGTTGCAGATGGTTGTGGCATCTGATGCAGATCAAATGGATGGTACATTTTCTCATATTGCTCAGAAGCCAAAATATCTTCTTTTCAAATGCACAGAGAATTATTTGGATTTATTTCCCAACTGAGAGCCTGATTTAAGGATTCTACTTCATTTTTTGGAAGGGCTATGTCACTTCTGAAAGTTAGGCTCCTAGATGTTTTTAGAGATCTCTACTATATTACACATGTAAATAAAAATATACAAACCTGCCAAATGAAAGCAATCTAAAATGAGCTGTTTCTTGAAATGGTGTTCCACTACTTATTGCACCCCTTCATCTCATCCTCTCCCTGCCTTGAAGAAACTCATGCCCTCAGCAGCAAATACCCCCACCCTCCAAGACCGACAAATCCAATCTCCTTTGCATAATATAAGGGAATGAGCTCCAGAATCAAGAGCATAAAAACCCCTGCACCTCCCTTGGAAATCAATGTTATCCTGAGTGGTTTTTTTGCTCATGTTTGGAAAAATCAGATGGAAAGGGAAGTTCATTATATCTTAGCCTGATTTCACACCTAACTTTCTCTCACAGACTGTTTTCGCTCATTCTTTCACATGTATGAGGCTGGAGATGGTTGTGGCCCTGCAGCCTCTATGGTGCAAGTCAGGAGCCAAGGGAGTCTCAGCACAAGCAGTGCCTTCAGTGACTGTGTCCATCTCCTGAACATGGCACACAGACCTGGATCCTAATAACAGGGTCCATCGACTGTCCCAAACCAGGCAAAGTTAATGAATCAGGGCCAGGGGGCATCCAGGAGTAGCAGAGGAACAAGGGCACCAGTGACAAGCTTGACACGAAGCTCCATGGTCCACTCAGGAGATGGGGCTGAGGGCAAACCTGCAGCACAAGTCAGGGGTTCACCTTGGAGCCATGGCTAGACATATGCCAGCTCCAGTATGGATATAGGAGTCAAAACTGGGAAAAAACTGCCACCAGCATAGGTCTACAGTCCACCCAGGAGGCTGCTCTTGGTTTTTCACCCCTGGTGCCTTCAGAAGCTCCATGTGCCCCTTCATGGCGTTTCCTGATGATTTTACACTTTTATCCCACCAGTCACACCCCATTCATGCCGAGCTTAATGTTTGCATGTCCAATCCCCATGGCTGTACTGCCACGCCAGAGGAGGACTCTTGACCTGGCCAGGTTGTAAACAATTCAGTGCAAACTGCTTAAGTCATCAGGAAGGTCACCAGAAGCTGGTGCAGACTGAAAGCAGCAGTATAAGATACTACCTGTGAGAAGCAGATTTTAGCAAACAGGCTGCTGCCTCCTACATGAGCTCTGTGTTTTGAGCGTAGCCCCCATACTGAGAACTTCACAGCAGCGTAATCTCACACACAATTTTCTCAGCAAGTTTCTCTGCAGGCCTGAGCTGTATTTACCATGCAGTTAGCATAGTCAAACATTGAGAGCATTATATTTGAACCAATAAAATAGATTCCTGATTATCATCTCCTGGTAAGTCTGGCTTTGTGCAGTGTGCTGAGTCTCAGTGCAGGGATTGTGAACTTGGAAAAAAGAACATAAGGTCATTTGGAGCAAAATAGGTTCAGTTAAGCAAATACAAGTGTACTTTCATTCCAATACACTCTCAGCAAATAATTTGGTTTCATCTATTTAAACTTTTATGCATTTTCTTGTTAGCTAAACTTATTTAAGCTCTATTCTACAGATATATCTCGCATTTCCTAGAATGAAGTTGTAATTTGTGGAGCATATTGTATTAATTTGGTATAAGTTTGAGAGATAAAAACATGTGTAATTGTAATGAATGATATTATAATTTCTGAGTTTTCTTCAAAAAACCTATCTTATTAACAGTGCTACATTGAAGTAGACCACCATTTTATCCTGGCACAAAAATATAAGGGAAAAGCAATCCATTTTGTCAGAGCATACCTTGGTAAATCTAATTCCATTCCACTAAATGAACAGTGCAAAGAGGATTGGAACTTACCAGGAAGCACTGAACGAAAGGTCAGATTTGTAGCAAGCATAAATCAAATTCTTGCATGGCTTAAGCGGATTTGTGCCCATATATACTAGTCAAGAATCTGGCTCATTAATGACTGGATGAATTACAAATAGAGCATCAAGCAGGAAGTTTGAGTTTTAACACGTATTTCCTTGACTTGTTAGCTTAAATCAGATTCTAAATATTCTGAAGATTTTTTGTTCACTGTATCTGAGGAGCAAGCTAGTGTGGAATTTGGTTAAATCCCCTCTCTTGAAAGCCATCTTTTCAAGCAAGGTCTGTGTGGTGCTTCTAAACAGCTTGAGCACAATGAATTATTGTCAGTTTTTCCAATCCATACATTTCAGATTTTGAAATGTAGCCTTTGGGACAACTTAAATAACACAAAACCAGTTGATTGATTGCCCAAGTTTGTGATGATTTGGTGATGCTCAGCAGGAGATGATTTGGTGTTGCAGACTCACTCCCATTTGAAGCACTCTACTCCAGGTAGTGCTCTGTGAATGTTTAAAGAGCTGCAGTACACAGGAATTGAGCAGAGGAGGAGAACGGGGAGGAGCAAACCCATGCCAGGATTTGTGCAGAATTGCAGGAGACTGAAAAATCATCTCAGAGGGTTTTACATTTGGCATGGCTGTGCAAAGCTTTTCTTGAAGCAGGCATCCCACGAGCATTTCTGGATGGCCTAAGCCAGCACAGCTGCTGGGAGAAGAAACCTCTACTCAGCCTGTATCTCTGACTTATTTTTGCTGGCATCAGGATTTGCAGAATTGCACAATAAAGCTGACCAGGAGCCATCCAGCTGGAAGCAAACCTAACAAGAAGTTCATTCCCCCGAGGCCACAGCTTTCAGCAGTGCAGCCAGACTTGTTCATTGAACTCTGCTCTCCCAGCGGGCTGCAGAAGGAGGTTAAGGTCACTGCTGTGCAGAAGGACACCTACCTGCCATTTTCACTGCCAAATAGGCCCAAGTGCAGCTGGGACAATGCATTCCAGGCCTGGCAGACTTCCTTGGCCAGCAGGGTGTGAGGGAGGATGGAGAGGGACAGGAGAAAAACCTGGACCATAGGGAATGCCTCTGCTGATCAAAGATAGAGGAGATCTTTGAGCACTTCACCTCTGGGATCTTTGCCAGGCCCTGGCAAAGTCAGATTTGGTTTGTGAAACCCAAAAACTGCTCACAGATTTTTTTTTCCCTGGGGTATCAACTAATGAATAATGAATGTGTTTATGCTGTGCCATTCTCTCAATTTCCGTTCTTGTTGCTAAAGTTGTCTGACTTAGACAGGTTTTGTTCTGTCACCTTGTTGTCTGTAGTCAGATCCTCTAGGAAAGTCAAACTCCTGGATATCATTCACTGCCACAGGGAGTGAAAAATCACAGTGTTTACTGCATAAAGTGCTAAAAGTGAAGAAAACCTCTGAAAAGAAACACCATTATTGATCAAAAAGGTAATTTTTAACTCAGAAAAGTGCTTTGAAAGTGCATTTGAAAGAACATGCATATTTAGAAGCAGACTAGCCTAGTTGCAAGATTGTGCTATTTTATCTCAAATACTTCAAGGCAGGTCTGTGGCTTGAAGGGAAACTTTGTGGAGAAGCAGCAGCCACTGTAACCAGCTGTGTTGATAAGCAAGTAGGAACTCCCTCATGGCATCCCTTGCCCGCCTTATCTTTTAGATGAATCAAAAAGCAGAGGCCACTTCCACTTCCAGATGCAAAATCTCTTTTTCTTACATCCATAGGAGTTTTAGTCTTCACATGTGTCTTAGCTAAATGCTCTTACTAATTCTATTCCACTCATATAAATTCCCTGGAAGTTTTCAGTTCAGTTAGTTAAATAAACCATAATTTCCTGCCTGAAATGTCAGCTATTGTGGCCCAGGGTTCCCTAAGGGTCTCACTGCCTTTAGATCAGCTGCTTCGCAATCTGAGCACATTCACCTCTTTCTTTACAGCATTTTTTCTGCTTGCTTTTAACATAAAGACTTCCCCCACACAGGAAATCCAAGTTTTAAAAGTAAAGATAATAGAGAAGTCGTTCCCTTCAGCATCAAAGGGATTACAGGAAGCAGTGTAACTATGGCACTGAATTGTAGATACAGCAAGATCCAGTTCATGTCACTCAAAGGAGACATCCTTTGGGATGAACGGGGCATTTCATATGGCTTAGGGACATTAAAAAGTTATGAGTCAAGATTTGTATTCACTCTTGGAAGTTGGAAGCCTCCACCATATTACATTATCTATTTGACCTGTATTCCCACGCTGCCTCCCTATATGGGTTTCTGGATATCTGCTTTTTGGTAAGCAGCCCCAAAACCTTCTGAAGATCTTTGGACTTTCCTCTATAGGTGAGGAGGTCAGGGCTCCCTTATCAGGCAAACTGCTGACCCAACAACAAGGTGCAAAGAGCTGCAGATTTTGAAGCTGCAGTTACAATTTTGACTTTTTCCTGAGAGTTAGCATGCTAAAGGTGGGGATGCTTACCCTCCTTCCTGGTAAGGAACAGCCAAGGTAACTGTCTCTCCTATTCATTGCAAATACTACTCATCACTCAAATAAATAAATGCAGCTTTTTAGGGAAGTGCTCCTGAAGCTGCTGAGCAGTGGGGCAAAGGAACTGATACCTTTTGGGTCGAGTGCTAGAGAAATGCGGTGTCTGACATGGACTTTTCACTCTCCA